CACTGAGCTCTCCAGGGATCTATCCTTATAATATTTTATATTATTATCTTAAAAAGAACCACTTGGTTTATCTTTTCAAATTACGGAGTTGATATATATATATATATATATATATATATATATATATATATATATATATATGTTTGAATAAAACAGACCACTTTAACTATGTAATCCGTATGGGTAAACCTAAGGAGGATAAAATCCAGAGAGCTCAATGTAAATCCAGAGCAAATAATTTAAATAAAAACAGACCATTTGAAGGTTCCATGTGATAAATTATTTCACCACCGCCCTTTAAAAGGACTGCGGATCAGCAGACTTTACTTCCAAGCAACTTTACTTGTTTGGAAGTCCTTTAAAAGGGCTGTGGTGAAATAATTTATCACATGGAACCTTCAAATGGTCTGTTTTTATTTAAATTTGCTCTGGATTTACATTGAGCTCTCTGGATTTTATCCTCCTTAGGTTTACCCATACGGATTACCTAGTTTTTCTTAAACTTACTAACTTACGTGGAGCTCGCTTTCCCTGACGATCCGCTTAGATGAAATCTTGGTGGGTTTGTCTGGCTCTCTAGGTTTGACTAGGTCTGCTCTACTTTTGGATTGAGCCCTTTTTGGCTAGTTAGTTGATTACTCGTATCGAGGTTTTTTTCTTTGATCTTTGGACCTGTATGCTGTACGATTATTTTCGACAGACGTTCATGTTCTTAGCTCTTTTTTTAAAACCTTTTTTTTTCATTAGCAAATCAAGAAACCGAAGGTTTTCGAGACGAGCGTACTTACCTATATATATATATATATATATATATATATATATATATATATATATATATATATATATAAATTGTGTGTATTTAGGCAGCATTTTTTTTCATTAATGCATGTTTCATTAAATAGTATAGACAAATTTTGTCTATTTATTTATGTAAATTCCTTTCATATTGTCGAATAAGCTTTTTAGCATTAAAACTGAAACACGAAAGAAAATCACTATGTTGATACATGTTTTGATTGTTAATCCTGTCTAAGCTTTCGGCTTACTTAAGCCATCATCAGAGATTACAAGTTCATTACAATAAATTAAATAATAAATTATATAACAAAGATGCTAATTTTTGTTTTAGATTAGTTATGCGGACATTACAACAATAATAGTTTGTTTTGTTTTGCATGGAAGATTGCTATGCAACGATAATTGGAACACATATACCTGGGACAAACAGATATTCTTTTTTATATATATATACAAAAGAATTACTTAATTGTAATTGTCCCCAACTCCGCAGTTTTGTAATATATATCCACTTTTCAAGGGTTACTTCTTTGGAAAACATATTACCAGTATACTGTGGAATCGGTACGATTACAGTTAAGTAATTCTTTGTCTATGTTGTCGGAGTTAACTCCCCCTTCAGTCCGTTAACCCTTTCACCAGGGGTCTCTCTTCCCTGGCTATAAATAGCCGCTGACTCTTCGCCTCTATCTCTTTTTCCTTCAGGCCTGTGCACCAACACCTTGAGGTAAATTTCTCTTTTTCTTTCAGGATTTCAGCTATCAACCTCGAAATGTAGGCGCTAACAAGGGATAGCGTGGAAACACGCTAAGCACAATACGCACACACGCTCGCACATACAGAATATTCACACACGCACGCACATACAGAATATTCACACACACTTTGTCCTTTGTACTGTTTCCATTATTGTAACTTGTTATTAATATATATTTGTATATACATATATTATCGGTCTTGTGTTTTGTTTGCTTTCTTTACCTTCTTCTTAGGACTTAATCAAAGTCCAACCTTTTTATGTAGTTGGGCTCGGCGGGCAGGAGTATCTGAACCTTACTTGCGTTTCTTCTACGTCTGACTTCTATCAACAACAGCCACGCCATGAACCCTCAACAAGTGGTAACCGCCACGGCCCCACCACAATGTAAAAAAATAATAATATTATGAGTGCGCTAGTTTTAATACTGTATGAAAATATCTGCTTCATTTTTAAAACTTAAATCTTTAATTTTCAATTAATCCCGGACAATTAAGTCGAAGTATCTGTATATATATATATATATATATATATATATATATATATATATATATATATATATATAACGGAGAACTTAGCATTCAGCTAAAACAGTACATAAATATATTAGTATATTTTCTCCGTTTTTTTTAAATAAATTTTTAATATTCTAAACTTAATGCATGGTAATATTAGAAAATTAATATTCGCAATTTTTATTCTTTAACTACATAGTGAAATTAAAAGTTAATTAGTTGTACTGATTTCCAATCTAATCTAATATTAATGTTAAAGAATTAATAAATTGTATCTAGGGTTCGTTATCAAGTTATTTTAAATATCGTATACTTGTATTTTGATTAGCCATCTTAGCTTACATAATAATGTTCCCCCTATTGAGAGGTGATTTTGAACTCTTTATTTTTCAGTCAACAGCATCACTTGACAAGACTCCAGAAGTGTTGAAACAAAATGGCTATTTATGTAATGATATTAAACATGCTTAAAACTGAACGACTACATTTGCCTGAAGAAGGTCACGAGACTGGAAACGCGTGTAGCAAAATATGAAGAATAAGATATATTATATACACTAAAATAAATTCACATTATAATGTTTGCGGTTTCTCTCTTTTTTAATATATATATATATATATATATATATATATATATATATAAAAAATACGCAAAATGCACATAAAAAAGTAGCCCTCGCGATTAGTTTCTGATATTAGGAAAACACGATGCTTTCTGCTATTAGGAAAACAAAACTTTGACGGCCAAATATTCAGAGTTTTTTTGTGGGGGGGTGTACATGCCCCAGTACTAGAGAAATTGCATTAGACTAACAATAGCGAAGCGGGACGTAACCAAAAATGGTTTTATCATATTTATATAATAAGAAAAAGTATTAGCACATTGACTGATAGACAAAAATCACTATAGTGTCATTTGAAGACATACATTTGTTTATTTAAATTATTTTGTAAAAATAACACGCCACGAATCAATAATTTAACTTTTTTTAAAAAATTATTCCTTCTGTCTTTTCTGTAAATATTTTCGTGACAATTGTTTTGATGAGAGCGTACGGACACATCACCTTAAAACACCAGTTTTCGTAAGATTACTGAAGATAATCAACCTAGTGACTGCTCAGTACCTAGTTCAACGCTTCCCAAACGGTGCGGCGCGCGTCATAGGTGAGGCGGAAGAGGATAGCAGGTGAGGCCGAAGAGGATAGCATGTGAGGCGGAAGAAGATTGCAGGTGAGGCGGAAGAGGATAACAAATGAGGCGGAAGAGGACAGAAGGTGAGGCGGAAGAGGATAGCAGGTGCATCGGAAGACGATAGTAGGTGAGGCGGAAGAGGATAGCAGGTGAGTCGGAAGAAGATTGCAGGTGGGGCTGAAGAGGATAACAGGTGAGGCGGAAGAGGATAGGAGATGCAGCGGGAAAGGATATCAGGTGAGGCGGAAGAGGATAGCCGTTGAGGCGGAAGAGGATAACAGGTGAGAAGAAAGGGGTTTGCAGGTGAGGCGGAAGACGATAGCAGGTGAGGCGGAAGAGGATAGCAGGTGAGGCGGAATGATGAAAAAACAATCAAAATTTAGAAACAGTTTAAAAAAATTCATGTGCAAAAATAAATGTGATTTCATAATTTAAATTGTTAAAATGGAATTACATGCATGAGTCCAAGTATAAATAGTTATACATAATTATTGACCAACTTTATCATTGTGATATTTTTGCATTATATCAAGTATTAAGTTAACTTCACAGTATAGTCGGGTCAGTTGGGCACCGTCTGTGAGCAAATGAATACGACGACGCAGTTCCCTACGCCAGAAATTTGGAAACGGCATGCTGTACTGCTTGGCATTCACGCTGGAAGCTGCAATACGAACATTTCGGTGTGTTTAGGTTTCAATCTGTCGACAGTGCTGAGGATTCAGAAAGATTTGGACGAGTCTAACAGTGATTATAAAAGGTGTTTGGAGAGATCACTAGTGATTGCGACATTATGCCCCCATTAATCTTCCTTCAGGGCCTTAGATTCAACACGGACACCTATATCACGTAGATTGAGTAGATAGTGCTACTATGGATCATGAGGGTGGCTGCTGGAAGACCCTATGTTAGAAAACAGGATTCAGCACCATTTATTTTAATGCTTCATGAAAGTACAGGCTACGATGGATAAATTGTCGTCTTAATTGCGCAAAAATGAAAATAACACTGGCATCTCATTTTAACAGATATATTTACCAAAATTACACAAGAATATCTTCAAATACTAAAGAATAAATCTACTGAATAAAATCGACATTGGATTCTACCATGGCCTCCACACGACACCGTAATTTTCTGCAACTCTTCTAGACGGTCTCTTTGTTTAAGATGGTAAATACTGCCATAATCCTTGCCTTTACTTCATCTTTGGTGCTATAAGGAATTGTGTTGGTCTCTCACTCAACTACCCGACACACATAATAATCAAGTGGGTTGTAGACTGGGGAATTAATTGGCCAGATGGTGATGTGGTAGCAGATATTGACTGACAGCTATGACTGGGTGTAATGTGATTAATAAAGAGGATTTACATATGTTGGTTATGCGAGAAACAAAATATAGAGTAATGAATCAGACAGGAGTAAGTTGACTACTGGTCACGTGTCGTAGAAGGACACTATATAATGATTTAATGTACGTACAAAATAATAATAATACCTCTAAATATATTATAAGTACTTTTCTGGTTTGGTCTAGCTGCATGTGACCGTTACATATGGGTTCATTCGAAAGACAGCACTCAAGATATAGCAAGAATTATGTTGTCTACGATGCTGACAAAAAGACCTTCCATAAAATAACACATACAAACGAATGTACTTTAGCAAACAGGAAAATATGAAAGAAAAGTCAAGAGCAGACTTGAGTAGTTGAATTAAAAAGAAGTTGCTTGGTTATCTAGGCGTTTCAGTACTAGATAACAGTAGGTATGAACAGAATGAGATAGATAGATAGGTAGATATATAGATAGATAGATAGATATTTGAACGAACTGACAGATAGATAGATAGATAGATAGATAGATAGATAGATAGATAAATGAGACATAATTCTAGAATATAGATATGAATAGAATTATAGATAGATAGATAATGAACAGAACTGGAAAGATACATATTTGTATAATGAAGAGAATGAAATAGATAGATAGATAGTGAGCTACTGAGATAGATAGATAGATAGATAGATAGATAGATAGATAGATAGATAAGACATAATTCTAGATATATACATATGAATAGAATTATAGATAGATAATGAACAGACTTGGAAAGAAACATTTATATAATGAACAGACAGATAGATAGATAGATAGATAGATAGATAATGAACAGAGACAGACAGATAGATAGATAGATAGATAGATAGATAGATAGATAGATAGATAGATAGATAGATAGTTCTACATATATAGATATGAACAGAATTGAAAATATATATATATATATATATATATATATATATATATATATATAATTATTTTATAAAAAAATTTATAACATAAGTATGTTATAAAATCACTACAAAAATAGCCATTTTGTTTCAACACACTCTGTGTCTTATCAAGTGATGGTGTTGAAAATAAAATAAATGGTTTTAAAAGTTTCAGATTAATTAACGATCCTACACTAGGGGGAGCATTGTTACAAAAGCTAGAATAACCAATCAAAACCGAAGTACAGAAAGATTCAAAAGCTTGACAACAAAATCCTGCTATTATAGCTATTTAGATCTTTAAATACGTGTAATATTAAAAATAATTTTTTACTAACTAATAATTATAAATTTATATGATAAAATTTAATATTAAAATTAAAACTGGCAATTTTAAAATCCAAATTTAATCACTATTAAGTTTAAAACTACAAAATTATTGAGAAAAGAAAAAATATATATGTTTATTCAATTCATTTCTTCATTAAAATTACGTCTGACAAGACAAAAGCTACAATTCGTCCGGTCATCTGATAATACATGTATATATTTTTTTTCTTTTCCGTTTTTTATTTTAAAGTTTGTGAATATGGTCTTAAACTCACGCGTGACACAACAAAAACACAATCAGATTATAATACATACGCATCCAGACATAATTAGATACATACACACACACACACACACACACACACACACACACACACACACACAAATATACACACACACAAAAAAAAAAAAAAAAAAAAAAAGGAAGAGGTGGGGGAAAACATGAACAACCTCCACAGCCCTTTAGAAAAAAAGGAGACGTGGAAACTAACACTTATACACACACACAGTTAAATGTGAATACACTCTACATACACATAGACACCGATATATACACAAACATACATCCACAATGGCATAGACATTGAGAAATCACAACCAGTAAATATTTCAGACTTAAATAAATGCTAACCACTTATTGAATTATAACTTAAGGGAGCAAATATATAAAAGATAAAATGTTTAAAATAATATTATTTAATATATTAAAACGAAAACTCTAAAACAATAAATATCAATAAAAATATATATATATTATTAATCATATAAGTTGATAATAGTTTCATTATATATTTGGCAAAAGAAAAACAGGATAAAGAAATCCCAAAATATATATATATATATATATATATACACGGCAGCAAAAACAAATTAAAACATAAAAAAAAAAAAAAAAAAAAAAAAAAATATATTCATACATACATATACGTACAGAAATACACACAAATAAATATATAAACATAAACATATACGTACATATACATATCTATGATAACAAGTACATATGTACGTACATATACATATAAACCTAAATACACACACACATATATACACACATAGACTTTTATGCACACATACTTAGATGTATAAAAACAGTCATGATATACCAAAGTTTCCATACCTACACATACACACAAACTCATACATAATAGGTTCCAACACACACACCTATATATATACATACACAAACATACATAAATATATACACACATACATACATATCTACAATTAAACATATATATATATACATAAATATATCTACTGCAATAACAACCACCCATATATACATGCATACATAAAAATACAACAACTTTCAACCAAATACATATATAAACGAACTAACATATAGATACATAAATATACCTTCAAACACCAACACACAGCAATATACATATAGTCTAACATACAAATATATAAAGACATTCATACAAACAGAAATATACTTAAATATAAATACACATACACAATAAAATATGACATACAGATATATATACACACATATATATATGCACACACATATATATATATACACACATACATACACATACATACATATATATATACAAATATATCGTGGCACAAAGCTGAAATCAAGGGCATCCAGTGAGGAACGAACTCATTACTCAGTCGCACCCAATCTAGTGAACCATGCTGGCCAACCATTATACTGCCGTGATTTAATCATATACATACCTGTACATACTCATACACATACACATACATACATACATATACACACATACATATATATATATGCATATATACATATATATATATATATATCCAACCATATACACACACACACATATATATATATATATACATATATATATACAAACATATATATATATATATATATATATCTACATACATACATACATATACACACACACACACACACAAATACATACATATATACACACACCCATACACACACATATATATAGGCACACACATACACATATACAGTAATAATTATTAACCTTTTTCTCTCATAATCTACCTTACCTTCCCACATAAATATATATATACATATATACACACACACTCACATATATATACACATACATACCCCACATACACCCCTCACATGTAAAAAAAAAAAAAAAAAAAACCATAAATACATTTATACACCAACCTACACATTCCTCAGTACAAATACTCTAACCAACACATAAATAAAATATATATATTTACACCAACACTGATAACACTATGCAGGTAAACAATACACACTTATATCGTAAGTATGACCATTATGCAATAAAAATACTAATCTATTAAAAATACAGCGACATATCATTATCATTTAAAGTATACGACCCCTACACTAAGTTAAATTTATAACGGTGTTTACAATTTACTGTCAGTTCATATCTTTGATTTAAGAGATCAGCCTTGTCTTTAAATCTAATAATTTCAAATTTTTCATTAAGGCATAGGTAACATGGGGTATATAGGGAGTTACATGTACGAGCTTTTCAACCAAACTCCATTTAATCGTAGGTGTTTTGTTCTTATCTTTTAGATTCCATAATATATATATATATATATATATATATATAAATAAAAAGAAAGAACAGTAAGATATAAAATCCGGTGTTTTTTAAAAGTTACTCCAAAATTCGCTTGAAGATGAAATGGAACTAATGCTTTTAATTTAATTGCAAAATTAAATTCGGGGTTTTAGCTTCTATTTTTGAAACATGGTTGGAACTGTGTAGCGAAAAAAAAACATATTTTAAATCAATTAATTTATAATATATATATATATATAGTGTAACCCGGATATAAGAGCTTTGTCGGGACCGGAGAAGAAGTCTCTTATATCCAGGTTTCTCTTATATCCGGGTTTGGTCTATTTTATATACATTAACACAGGCTCTAATTTGGGACCAGAGAAAATCTCTCTTATATCCGGGTTTCTCTTATACCCGGGTCTCGTATATCCGGGTTACACTGTGTATATATATATATATATATATATATATATATATATATATAATGGACAGTCTGAGATATAGATAGATAGATAGATAGATAGATAGATAGATAGATAGATAGATATACAAATGAAGAAACTGCGATTATATGTTTGTACGCCTGTGTATTTCCGAAAATGTGAAACTCAGTTTGATCGCAGTTCATAAGAAAAAATATTTTCTCAACTTTTTACCCAAGTAATTTTATCCGATTGTATTTTCTTTCTCTATTTGTTTCTCTCTTTTTTTATTTGTTTTTTTTTTCTTTACTTTGCTTTTTTTTTCTCCAGAAGACATCATAAAATACCTTTCACTCAGAAGAAAGCAAATTTTAATTCACATGTCATGTATATTTTTGTTACATAGCAAATATGAATTTCTTAATGTTTAGTTTTCATTGTGTCTGCATTTGATATACGCCGACCCCATTTGTTGGCTTGATGGCGTGGGCGGGTGTGAAATACCTATTTGCCTATCCGATTTAACACGATCACCTTCCTCATTGTTTTTCTTTTTTTAGTTCTATTCTTCATGTCTATTGATTTCTTTTACAAATGGACTGATTTATCATGTCTAACACATGCAATCATAAATATCTTGTAGTCAGTTCAGATACATTTTTAGACATTAGCTAAGAATATAATATTCCTATATATATATATATATATATATATATATATATATATATATATATATCGTCATCCACAGACAGACTGTTTCAGTGTGGCTAGATGTTCAGTTGCCTCTAGCTAGGATCGAAACCCGACTGAATTGGCGGGGATTCTGCACTAAGCCGTTGGCGCACGGCAGGGATAAAGGTGAATTTAAGCGTATTTATTTTGAGATAAATAATGAGTCACTGTTACAAACCCACACTTCCTCCCCAGAGAGCTCAACTTGGAAATAAATTTTTCCAGGAGACATATATATATATATATATATATATATATATATATATATATATATATATATATATATACATATATATATATATATATATGTATGTATACATATATATATTATGAAATGGACAAAAGTCCGACATTTATTTTAAGATATTTTATGTTTATACATTTTTTTATACATACTTTTTATACATACATGTATCCTATACGGAACCATCATATAGCCTGACGTGCCTTAACCAATGGAGCCACAGAGGAGGACGAATATTTTCTATGAAAATTTCTCGGACATTCAGGCCGTTAAATGTTATTAATACTGTTTATTATAAACAGATCATTTACTTAAATATTTGTATCTATTTGTCCATTTCATAATATATATATAAGATAAGTCATACATATATAGATAGATAGATAGATATGAACAACTTAAGAGATAGTTATAAATAGAGAAATATAGATATGAAAAGCATAAGATATAAAGTCATAAATAGATATGAACAAATTATGATATACCGTCATTGATAACTAGATAGATATGAAACATTAAGTTAAGTCATAGATAGATAGATATGAAACATTAAGTCATAGATAGATAGATATGAAAAATTAAGTCATAGATAGATAGATAAATAGAAATGTCAGATACGATTGAGACATTGCTGTAATCGAAAAACTTATATGACTGAAGTAATCTCAGCCTTTAAATTTTAATTCTGTTCCTCACCATCACCACCCTCAGAAGTGAAACCCAGGCTGTCTTCCCTTAACCACAGAAATGTTAATGTCTATTTGAGGTCGGTCCTAAGTGACCATTAATTGCAGTGCGTAAGATTGGGTTCCGGTCAATGGATCGTCGCCATCGTATATTTAAGTTGAAACCAATTTCTTGGTGGCATTAACTGCTCTGTTGATTAATTTCATCCTTAAATCAAATCAAATTAAATTGAAATATCCTTGAGTAGATTTACTGTACCTAGACAGAAGACGATGAACGGCCATCTTGAAAAATACAACCTTGATCCGCTTGTGAAAGTATTTGGTTCATGATATACACAACCTTGGATTACTCTTCATATAACAACAAAGGGCTACGGTTCACACGGTGGAGTAATGGATAGCGGTTCGGACGGAGGAATCGGAGAGCTGAATTCGAATTCCATTCGTGCTATTACCCTTGGGAAATATATGAATCCGCTTCTTCTCCCCGAAGCTATGGTTAAATAGCAGGACACATCTGGTACTATAGTCTTTGATGTCAACTGGTCTACCGTAGAAATAAATGACAACCTACCGCTAGAAAAATCTGCCTCGTCAGTTATGTATCGAAAGATACATGATTGCCTAAGCATGTATCACGCATTGCACATAACTGATACCTTCAGACCATGAGGACATGTTTCTAATCTGACCATAGTCGATTTGTTAATATATTATTTGATATCAACGAATACTCGTTGTCATTTTCGTAATGCTCGTTGTAGCAGAGACTTTGTAATCGCAGATACAATTATAGTAATGCCGTTGGACAATACTAGTGTCAGACGCCATCGAATATCACTCGTACTAATAGTACTTGCTCGATAATACTCGATCGAATAGTAACCACGAAATAGAGATCCGAATAGTGATCGCTTAGACGCCACGCTAATTCCGATATATTCATTTCCTTTACCATCACGTGATCTACTTATTCAAAATGGGATCGCCCGTGTTTACTCACTGATGATCTCGGCAGTGATACGTTATTTCTATAGAACAAAAGGGTAATAAAATGAATGAAAATAAAATAACAATTAATTGAAGTAAATAAATAAAGAAAAAGAAAAAGAAGGAAGGAAAGAAAGATTTTGTGATGTCAACGAAGACTCATTGCCACTTTTGTGATGTCAACGAATACTTGTTGTCACTTTCGTAATGCTCTTTTTAGGAGAGACTTTGTAATGACAGATACAACAATAGTACGTCTTTGAACAATGCTGGTGTCGAATAACACTCGCACTAATAGTACTTGCTGTACAAATAGTAACCATCGTATAGTGATCGGTATAGAAAAATAGTATAGTGAATCGATAATACTTGATCGAATAGAAACCCGTATAGTGAAATGGTAGAGATAGCTGTCCGTAGAATAATAGAGAATAGAATAAATGTGCAGATTCGATAAGTAAAAGAGGATAGAATAGAAATAACGATATATTTAGATGTCACGCTACCGTCTACTTGTCTATATGGTCACGTGGTCTACCTTAATTCAATAATGGGGCCACCGGTGTTTGCTCACTGGCGATCTATGTTCAAACTCAAGTGTCGGCAGCGACACTTTATTCCTATATATATATAACCATTAAAATATCGGTCTATAGAGACTCGTTCATGGTATGACGATAAACTACATCCGGCAGCAAGGCCTCTGATTGGGAGATTAGAGGTTGTGAAGACAGCAAAAACACTTCTTAATTGTTGTTCACTAATTCACTCTGACCCGTAGTGGTAGCACCTGTCAGGGTCGCACTTACGGGCAAAATTTATCACCCCAAACAAAAATCAATGCGAAAGACTATATATATATATATATATATATATATATATATATATATATATATATATATATATATATATATATATATATGATAAAATTACCAACAATAGCTATTTATAGTAAGAATTACCACTAATACATGTTATCTGTAGTTGAAGCCATAAATTCGTTTTCAATATAGTTAGATTTCGGCATTAAATAACCCATAAAGGTTGTTATGCCGCTAAAAAATCTACCATTTTTTTTTTGTTTGTTGATATTGGAGAATATGAGAATCGATGAACAGGTGTGGTAGAACCTGTTAGGGCCCGACTATGGAGAAATAGTGAACCCCCAAATAAAACATTATGAAAGTGTAAAAATACATTTTCATAGTAAAAATACCGGCAATACATTTTATAAAAAATTACCGACAACATAAACAAATAACAATACATATGTATAGCGAAATGACCAAAGATACATTTTATCTGTAACTTAAGTCATACAATGGAGTTCAAAATATATTCAATTGAAGCCATAATATTGTGTTCAACATATATTCAATTGAAGCCATAATATTGTGTTCAACATATATTCAATTGAAGCCATAATATTGTGTTCGAAATATATTCAATTGAAACCATAATATTGTGTTCAAAATATATTCAGTTGGGGCCATATTATTTTGTTCAAAATATTTAGCTGTTGGCATTCAATAATCGATAGAGGTTGCTACGCCGCCAAACAAAATCAATGAACCAAACAACCAACATGAAAGAACTCTTTCATGACATTAATCCATATAATATCCTACAATTTATTAACGAAATCAAACTGTATTCCAAAATATAACATTAAAAAAATGAAAATATAAAACATCGCCTCTAGTAATTATGTCCACACAAACATGTATTCAGTTGTGAAAACAGAATAACATATCATTTTTTTATTACTTCAAATCTACGAGGAAAGTGAAATTTCAGCAGTAAATGACCCATAAGGAGTTGATATGCTGTTAAACAAACAACAGCAAAACAAGATCTATTCCATTTTTCTTTTTACACAACAATCTTGAATATCGTTTTTCGTACATTTACTTTTTCTATTTGCTTATCTAAAGTTAAATGTTTCAATTTTTTTTTCTACTCGTTTTATCAATTGATAGTTTAGATGTCAGTGCTGTCAAAAAAGTAGTATAGATTATTTTTGATGCAACAAAAAATGACTTCGTTATCTTTGTGTATTTCGGGCTTAAATCCTGAATTACATTTTTTATTTTTCAACCGGCTCCCTTTTTCTACATTTATCAAACTTTACAGGCTTTATGTTTATTTATTTATGTACAACTATTTTGTAATTTTTCTATACACATACAGACAGACATATATACAGGGTGCGATGGATAAACTATCGTTTAAATGACGCAAAAATGAAAATAACATTGACATCTCATTTTAACAGATATATTTAGCAAAATTGCACAAAAATATATTGAAATACTAAAGATTAAATTTATTTAATAAAATCGCCATTGGCTTCAACCAAAGCCTTCAAAACACTTCGGAATCTCCTCCATCTCTTCTGGGTGGTCTCCTTGTTTAAGTTGGCCAATGCTGCCATAATTTTTGCCTACAGTCCATCTTAGGTGCTAAAATGATCTTTTTTGATCTATGGTTCAACTGCACCACACACATAATAATCAAAGGGTCTGCAGTTTCGAGAGTTAGGTGGACAAGT